TTTCCTCGCCTGCCGTACGTAAGCGTCGAGCAGGGAGCGGTTGTTCGGATGTATCTTTAGATTCAGCTGCGTCTCGCTGCAAAAAAGGACAGATTGTGGCGTTTTACGATAAATGGTAGGTTCTTCCCCTCACCGAGGTCCACAGACTGCGTGGTGGGATCAGGCCCTGCGCGGCGGGAGGTGTGAATATAGTGGAATTCACAGTTCGTAATCCGGGAATTAGCACAAATGAACAGAGTTCTTTAAACTGAAGAGCCGAGTCGTTACTCTCTTTGTGCCACGAGAATGCCCCAAGGCAGGATTTTTTTTTCTTCTTTTAGTACTCGATACGCAGCAGCAATAATATAGAAAGGGGGATATTTCCTAAGGATGTTTTGTTGGCTCCGGGTTCCGGACCCGGCGCTGAGCGTGTCACTTTTGCAATTTCAGGCCCCGGTGGCATTTGAAAGCGATGCCGCTTACTTCTCTGCACAAGAGTGGGAGAATTTGGAGGAATGGCAGAAGGAGCTGTACAAAAACGTGCTGAGAGGGAAGAACGAGTCTCTGATCTCTCTGGGTAAGTATCAGTTTTTCAGTCAGTTATCGGCGCTTCCAGACTAGCTCTGTTTTGGGGACTTTTTCCCACACCTGGAAAGCAGATTTGGAGAAACACGAAGTCGGTGCGCGTTGCTGAGGGCAGCGTAGAGCACAGCGCGCGTCACATCCAGTCCCTCCGTCTCCAGCACTCACTGGGTGTGGGCACTGGCTGCAGTCACCTCCGTGTCACGGACCGCTCCCTGCGGTGCCGGGCGCCAGCACAGCCCGCAGGCCCCTTCCCTCGGCCCCCCGGGGTTTTTCCCGGCGGAAGCCGCCATCTCCCGGTGGGCCGTGCAGAGGGCTCTCCGTGCTGCCCAGTGGCGTGTTGTGGCCATGGGGCCGGTTTGGGGAGTGTGTTTCTCCCCATGGACACCGTGGGCAATTTTGATGCAGCACGGAAACCTTCGTATCTCTGTTCCTCAACAGATTACGCAATCTCCAAACCTGACCTCCTGTCCCGGCTTCAGAGAGGAGAAGCGCCCTGCGGTGGGGATAAGGGGGCTGAGAGAGAATTTCCAGCAGAGAGAGAAATTCCAGCAGAACCAAGTGCAGGCAAGAGATGAATTACAACTTTATTCGCAGGCATAATGTTTGCATGTTGTTGTCGCCAGACAGAGGACATCACGAGGTGATAGTCCTGACTTGCTACAGAGGGAACTTCTCGGATCTCAGGAGGAGTGGGTTCAGGGGGAGTAACAGCGTTAGAAGAAAACGTAACGGGTTTGATCTTTCCCATTAGCAGAGTCTCTGCTGTTTAGACTTGATGCGAACAGCCAGGACAGCAGGGAAGGAGTGCAGCGCCCGACGGGGCAGGAAAGCCTGGAGGGAAGAACAATGCTGGCTGAACCCGGACCCGGTGAGCGTTGTTCTGAAGGGGTGTGCTTGGACGCACGGGCAGGGAGGACATGCTCCTGAAATGGCGGGTAAAGGGAAAACCACTTCTCTGCAGGGGGGAGTAAAGCTCCCACAAGTAGGAACAGGAGATGCTGGAGAGAGACTGTATATGAAAGCAGCGTAGCTGGCAGCAAACTTCCTGGGCAAAGGAAGAGCCAGGCGGTGCTGTGATAACCAGTAAAGAAGTTTCCTCTTTACATCAACAGACTATGGCATTCCGGAGCCGAGCTTTGCAGGCGTTGTGAAGCAAGAGGAAGAGCTGTGTGCGGAGGAGCGGGGAGCCACAGAGGATGCAGAGTTTACCGAGCTCAGTGTGGGTGAGTTTCGAGCAATCCCGCAGTGCGCCGTGCAGCTGGAGATGCGGGGAGTCC